AATATATATAGTACAAATAGTATAGTATATATATATATATATATGTATATGTATATGTATATATACATATTTATATATATATATGTGTGTGTGTGTGTGTGTGTGTGTGTGCGCGTATGTGTATGTGTGTGGGTGGGTGTGTGCGCGCGCGCGTATGTGTGTGTGTTTGTCTCCCTGTTTCTCTTTCTGTGTGTATGCATATATAAAAATATGTGAATATGTATAACATGCTTTGCTAATCATCATACATAATGAATAATTACTTAAGCGTCCAGTTTATAATTCATTGCGCAGCAGAGAATCCGAATATATAGTCACAGTACGTTCATTGTGGTATATAAAACCTAGTAGTCCTAGCGTACACAAGCTCCCAGCAACACAGTGGTGGATATCTCGATATATCAATTGCAAGCACTCCTTACCTTGAGATGTCAACATCCTGCACTGTGTTAATCGCAATGGTTTATGTATGTTGGAGCCAAGGTGTGTTCGCCTGCAAAGTACAGGTAGTATGGGGGTCAATGAAGACCGTATCGCGGACATAGTGTTTTCTAAATATCTGCCGCACAGTGTTTGGGGTATTTAAAAGGTGGGGCCTAGACAAGCAAGTATATACTACTACAAACGCACACCAGAGGAAACCCTAAAAAAACAGGTTCAGGCTTTGGACTTTCAGGCTACACAGTTCAGACTTCAGAAGTTCAGAGTCGATCGAAAACTTTTACACAGTTTTTCAAATATCATGAGGTGCATCAGAGACTCGGACTCTCAGGACTCAGCCACTCAGGGCTCCGGGCTGAGGCCTCATAAATACGTTCACATGAAATATATATGTACATACATCTCCTATTTTCCTAACTAAGGTAAAATTGTAAGGTTTGTTCATCATTATTCATACTCTTCTCGTGGTCCTACCGCCTCGGAGTAGATTTTAAAAATGATGATTCCGGTGAAGCGGGTCACCGGTCATCGCCTCAGGCGCCGACTGCCCGACTCGCCGAGTGCCCGAGTCACAACTCACAAGTCTGAAGTCCCAAATCTCAACTCTCACGTCTTTTTTGAAAAAAAAACCCCCCAAAGTATTAATAGGTATGTACTGTAGTCAACTTTTGCCAGTGTCAGACAATTGACACTGGGACACGCGACCTAAGTCACTGAGTGGCTAAACATATTTATTACGTATGCTGAGCAAGGCTCCCTCGAACCTTCACTATAAGCCCCTGCCTTGAAGGCCTCTGGCCCCATGACAGCCCGTGACTGTAGACAAAGTAGACCTGACAGGTGTAGACTGTAGAGTGACTAATTACAACCTGTTGGGTGTAGGGCCGTGGGCTGCTGGCCTATAAAACTGTGAAAGTGTGACTCTGTGAGTCACCTGCTCTTTTTTTTAAGTAATACAAACTATGAACTACTTATCATACGACATACTGTCACATGACTCACAAGGTTAGGCCGGCCGCCGGCGTGGAATTTATTTAGGAAGTATGTACTTGTTGTGTTGTTTGTATTTATTTATTTATGCCGTCAGCCATATGCCCGTATAGTATACATTTTAGGTTTTTTTTGTATTGAGTTTTGTATTGAGCAGGCCTCACGCGCCTTAATGTACACGCTATGTGACTGAAAACGAAATACATTTTACGTCAACGAGCTCAAATATAAAAGTTTTTAAGCTTACCGTATTCATTTTGGTTCCAAAACGACAACAAAAAAAAAATATTCAGGAACTGTTCCAAATAAATCAACAAACGACAAATATGCATTGGACCGGATCCAAAATTGAAAGTTCATTTTATAAATCAGGTAGCCGTCCATATTTTGACAGATAAAGTTGGGTGGCATATGCCAATATATTGGCGGGACGCAATGTTTTGAAAACGTGTTTACGCTCAACGTAATGAACCCTGCTATTGAGATATTCAATATTTGAGAAGGCTAAAAAGGTTTTTACCAGGGGGACTTCTTGCAACCGCCAAACTGTGAGTAAATATTTGACCAACTGAGAAGCGGGCAGCGAGTAGTATTTAAAAAACAAACCCGGTCACGACTCACGAGTCACGACTTACGTAACGTTACGACCGACGCACGAGTCAGGTTCAGGATCGAGTCTTGGTTACGCAGACCACTCTCCCCAGTGGCACAGTCAGACATCAGACGTCAGTCAGTCACACTGTGGTGACTGGTGACTGGTGACTGGTGACTGGTGACTGATGACTGGTGACTGGTGTGTAGTCACTCAACACTGAAGTCCTGGACCTGGAGGCTTGTAGCCCTGGACTCAGGCGACTCTGGAGTTAGAACTTTGGACTCACTCGTCTAAATATATATATGGGCTAAAAAAATATGATCAGCAATCTTGAGTTCTATTCAGAGGGCTATGCTAAAACCTATATTTTAAAAATATACCTAAAATTTATGGCTAAAAAGCCAATATATGACTAAACATTATGACTGAAAAAAAAAATCTGAAAACAATTCCAAAAAAAATTTACAAGACCTATGGAAGACTTTACAGGCCGATTCAAAATCTCTTTTTATGATTGTATTATATAAAACTGATTTTAAAGTCAATTCCAACCTGGTTTGACCCAGTATGCAGCAGCGTGGCGCAGAGGGAGCGCGCGAGGCCCATAACCTCGAGGACGTCGGATCAAAACCGACCGCTGCTTGAAATTTTTATTTTTGGTTCGTACCATCGGGGCAGACGGATAGTTTGGTAAGGCTTGGCGCCCTATGGAGACCGTGATTCTCTCCTAACATCCATAATCCCGGAGGAAACGACGGATTTTTCATTTTCTCTCTTTTTCCAGAAGGTCATGTTAAATATTTCCTTCGAATACTTTCGCAGAATTGACCTTGATATGTGCTAGACAACTTTCACATTTTTGTAAATATAATGTAATATGTTTACTCAATTTTAGTGGTTCAATACGAGGTCAACAACACTATGTGATACTAGATTTTAGTTGCTAAATACAAAGTATATGAATTGTTTAGGGTTTAGGAATTGCTCTGGACCGGTGTGTGGTGCTACATTGGTACTTCGGCAAATAGATAGCTGCTTATAGGACGTTCAAGTTGTCACCAAGGTACTGTGCAGTTATTAAACAATCACAGCACTCTCTAGTATGGCCGCTCTCAAGGGGAACCTTCAAAGTTCATTCCCCATTAAGATTGTTTTCAACAAAAGCGAAGTGCGTATTCAAGTATATTCGTTTATTGAGGTAGTACAAATCTAGAAGCTGCCATCGCATGATCGTGGCGCAGACACGTACATACGCCACCTAGACTACTCTACATAGTTAGCTGGCAATAGTCCAACCCTCCCCCGAAGTTCACCCCTGTCAAAATCCATCGGAACAGTGAATGATTAGTATATAATATACGCAACAACAAGATACTTATATCTATTCACTCCGCGACAATTGTAAAAGAATTACCATACTACTGGACAAAAGCAAATCGAAGCAAACCCCAGGTCACTCCTTTGGGTTTGTGATGATTTTCTAAGCTTAAAATCAAACTCAGTTCTATAGCTGGAAAACGCTGAGATGACTGACCTTACCATATACATGATAATACATGATGAACGATGCGAAAGCACGTCTATTTTGTTAACTCAATACCACCTGCAGCACGATGGTTAAAATCAAATGTTTGCACATTTGATACCGTTGTGAATTCTATGAATATATCACCATCAAGCCCGCATAATTTTATCTACTTACTTGCACCAACCAGCCTCGTCTACCTCCTCGATTATAATTATCTGATCTCCTTCCCCAAACGTGAGTTCATCGGCGTCCTGAGCTTCGTAGTCATACATCGCTGTAGCTACTCGGCCTGCAATCCGGTTGGAAGAAAAAGGTTCAGCATCATGTGACTGGAAGCATTTACGTGCACAATCAATGATAAGTAGCTCAATTACCACCGTGCACAGAGTGAGAGATATAAAAATAAACAAAATATGATGTATGCTATAGTGCTTGCAATCAATTGATACCAGACAGTGTTTACCATATGCATGGACAATAATGTTGCTGTCACGATCAGATGTGTAAGTTCTATGCTAGCAGCTACCTTGGCTGCGAAAACAAATGCCCCAGGAGTGTAGAACACGGAGCAAATGCCAGATCCCTCATTGCATGTGAGTACAACACTGCCTACAACTCAATTCGGCGCTGAGGGCCCCTGAACCCGTCCTACCACGCACAAAAATAACTGAACTGAGCATACGCACTATAGGTACGTCCCATTGTGTATATAGGTGATCGCGTGATAAACACGACTGGAAAGTACCATCACGGTGACGCGCACAGCAGAAACCATCAGCCACACTGTACACTGTACACGTTCTAAGACTTCAACTGTGTTCTCCCAGCACCAGCACTCCACGCTATATTTAATTTCAGACCTTTGTGTGCGCAGGTCAACTGAATGATCAGCTATGCAGCTGCTTCCCATACAATATGATACAATATGATACAATATGATACAATATGATACAATATGATACAATGTGATACAATATGATGACTATTCGAGTACACAGGATAAGGTTCACCAATACAGGACCAGTGCCATCCCAAATCTGATTATGCAAGAACCCCCCACCCACCCCACAAATAGTCGCCACATACCCCCACTGACTGGAGAGATGACTCACACGCAGTGTATGTAGACTAGCACGAGCATAAGGAATAAGATTATCCAAAACGGAATGAAAACGGAATGAAAACCACAATCCACATTCACCCTGGGAAACAGACCCACGACCCGAATAGTCAAACTCTCGAAACCATATGCGAAGCAGCCACGTACCTCCTCCTGTAGCAGCCACTGGTGCAACTGCTGCCGCCGCCGGCACTCCGAATGAATCTTGTCGTGCAAAGCTTGTTTGTGCACCGTCATTCTGGGAAAAGCTCTCCTGTACATGGCTATTCTGTGTAGAATACGCACCACCGCCCATGGGGGCCTGGCCATTGTCTGCATGCTTCGCCTCGTTCGGTGGATTTGCTGATGGGCCTTCGAATTCTTGGAACTGTGGGTAGAAAAAGTTCGGTATGAGGTAATTTTTTGGAGGACTTTGTTGCATGGTAACAGAAACATATACCTGAAAGAGGATTCAGCGGCTTATGCATTCATGTGTACTATATGCCATTCTACAATACATATATATAGGTCATACACAAACATTCCAAAGAATAAGGTACTAAATAAATCAACGATTAAAGTGTCTGTGATCGCTGTATCCTTCAATGTAGATATACTCACTACTAAAACGCAGAATCACTTGTATGTCCCCGCTGTGTGGAAATGGAAACATAGTAGGCAAAACGCGCACAAAACGTAGTCAGCTACAGTCATCGACAACACTCCCCACACATAAATTAATGGGGAAAAATGAATAATAAATGTAATACAATATATATATATATATATATATATATATATATATATATATATATATATATATATATATATATATATATATATATATATATGTGTGTGTGTGTGT